GTATTTCCGCGCCTTCATGGGCTTCCAGTCCCCACGAAATCCAGTAGAGGCGAGGCCGCCTGCACCAGGTCATGTACTCAGAGTTAATCTCCCAGGGTTCATCCCCGAAACTATCGCTCATGAGGTCCCTGTCTGAAGAATCCATGGATGATACTGATTCCATGATCACGTGGGTGGGACACCACGGAAAATGCTTTTGTAGCAACAACCTGATGCGATCCACGTGCACGAAAAGGCAACTCCGTTCATCATGTAGAGCTCCTCGACGACTAGCGTTCAACCCCGACACCCCCTGGCAGGGAGGCCCCGCACCCAGCAATACCAATTCCACTTGACCAAATTTCAGGGCCCATCCCCGAACGTGTTCGTCTGTGATGGCCACCACATCATGTAGCAAGACCGCACCTGGAAAGTGGTATTCCACCACTCTATGCCCTTCGGGTTGTTTCTCGACGGAGATGTGCCCCGCCACGTTAGCCCCAACCAGGTCCAGTGCGACACGCAGACAGCCCACGCCATCAAACAACCCAACACTAAGGACCTTAACTTTGGACGGCCGTCCAGGGGATTGCCCACAGGGCGAAGCTCACCCCGAGCAACCATCTGTCCTGCAGGGCTCAACCCCGTGGAGCAGCACATACCACCACCTGTAGTTGAAGCATCGCTGCAGGTCACCTGTGATTTCATAGGTAACCGAAAATCCATGCGGCACAACCCCACAAAGCAGACACAACGTAGTATCTCCACCTTGACCAGTGCAGGGATGGCCAACTTGTGACGCCCCGAGTGGTTGAAAGACTCAATGAACTCCCAACACTTGTTCAACGACCCCAAGATTTGACGTCGGAACATCGTGAAGTAGACCAGTCCTCCACAAATCACCTGTGCTTGACGTTGACTGCAGTGAGTAAGCTGGCAAAAGAACAGGGCCATGACCGTATACTTAACAAGTTTGTTCCCTTTCGGGTAGGCCACGCCGCGGACTCCATCCACGATGGCACCTTGAACTTCGGCGACAGGCTGTCTGCTGACACTTTTTCCCGTGTGCCGTGGCATTCCCACGCCAGCATATGCCCCGCGGAGACCCTCCACGTCTTCTGAAAGGCTACCCTGTTGCTCCACCAAAACTTCCCTGGGGAATTTTTCCAACAAGTCGTAGTTGTCCAAATAGACCCGCCACGTGGATTCCGACGCTGGGAGGGGTAGATCCTTTCTAACCTCGCGACTTGGTAAATCCAAAGAAGGCATAGGTTTCGAGCGGCTCACCAGTACTCGATGCACATGCTGTGCAATTCCCACCGAGTTGATGAACCCCATGGGCAATACCACTGAAGCAAGATAACAAGTTTCTGTGCATCCCACTGGCTGGAGAGACCTAGGTGCTTCTCGATTGAAAGCGATCGAGGAATGGTGCCCACGCATCCGGAAGCCCCAGAGTGTAAAAGAAACATCTTACATCCTCCGAGGACACAAGCAACCCTTCACTCGGCTCAAGCGAGAACGGGTTCATTCCCAGCCAGTGAGGGAGCCCGGCGATATCTGCCGAGAGCCCAAGACACAAGGAGTTCAGCGGCACTAAGTTCATTATGAGGCGATAAAGGGGGAGACCATCACGCTCCTCACCCTTCTCAACCCCGAACAGGCCGTTTAGCAGGGGAACCCCCCGAACTTTAAACACTTCGGACTCAGGAATGACTTTGCAGACCTTAGCCCTAACCAGGTTCGTGGCTACTTCAGGCCAGTCCTGTTCACTGACCATCACTCGGCTATTTTTTACAATAGGCCAGTCTTCCACCGGCTTAAGAAAGTCTGGAAAATGGTCAACGTAAAACCGGCATCCCTGTCCGCATACATCCCTGAGCTTGACCGCGCCAATCTCTTTTGGCAAAGTAGGTCCCACATGGGCCCAGCAAAAGGACCTGGCAGTTTTAACTTCCTCACCTTTATAGTCGATTGTACGACTCTTGAAAAATTCAGCCCAATTAAATTCATCCACCGTATCCCTTATTTCAAAAAGACGGTGAACATCATGCAAAAAACTCTCCAAAATGACGCAGTGAGACTTGGTGATTTCGCCCTCATTAAAAATAGGGCCACCCCAGTAAGAGTTCAGGCCTAAACACATGGCCAAAACCCATTCCACTTCTTCCATTCGAGCCGTTCCAAAGAAAGAGAAAATACGGTCCCTAGAAGTGGGGAGAGGAAAAATTGAAGAAGAAATTCCCCCCCCGTGGACTGGCTGTGAAGCAAAACCTCCAGGAACCTATTTTTAACAAGTTCCCCCATCTGCCCCAAGCGCAATCCCAAAGGCGGCTCTTTTAAACTCGGTTCGGACACTGCAAAGTCCGTAGAAACGTCACCCCTCGTTGCCGAGCTGGCACTGGTGGCCATGTCAGAGCGTGTGCTCTGCTCTAGCGGCTCCGCACGGCTGAACAAAATGTTCTTGTGAGACATAGGTCCAACGTACCTAGGAAAAAACTCCCTCATAGTCACGGCAGCCCTCATAGGTCGCACAGGGGTCTCAGCCCCCGAAGTCATCAGGATCACGCTGCTGGGCCCCCGCTTCCTTTCTTCGAATCCTCTGTCTTCTTGCCTTCTGCTTTCGACTTCCCTCGGCCCTTGGTGTCCTTCCCTTTGTAGTTGGGACGGTCTTCTCGGGCTCCTGCTTTGCCCTTGCCTCCTGTGGCCTGGTTCTGGTAGCGGCTGTTCCCAAAGGCTTTGACCTCCTGGTTGCGCTCTCTGTTGATGATGGCTATCTCCTGACGGCTGGGCAAGAGCGAAGCCTCGCTGGGGATAACTTCCAGGCGTTGCGACACCTGGAAGGCAGTCCCACCTGCCTGCAACTCCAGGCCCTTGATGCGCTGGAGAGCGATATCCAGTGCCCGAGGGATATTGCCCTCCAAAAGGCTGTCTATGACGCTGCAATGCGTCAGCAGCTCTCTCGCCATGGCCCCACTGATGCGTCTCGAAAGTACCTGGCGGAAATATCGGATCATCTGTGGAGTCCATCCCCGGCTGCTGGAAGTGGGGTCTCCCATGTCCGCTGAGACCATGCGGGAGATATCCCTCAGGGCTTCCCCCGCAAGGAGGCCAGGGAAGCGCTCCGACACCCCCCGAATCTTCAGCTCGTCCCCGAAGAGCGGGGTCTGGTTCCCCGAAACCCCAGCTCCCGTGATTCCTCCGACGACTCTGTGCCGCTGGAGCTGCTCTTCTTTCTCTTCATAAATTTCCTCGCCCTGCGGTGGATCCTCTTCCTGGTGCTTCCCGACAACGCCAGGGCCGTCCCCCGAAACATTCTCTTCTGACTCACTAGACCAGCTTCTGTATCGTTGGATGAACTTGAGCTGCTGCGTCTCGGGGACTTGGCCCTCGGAACAGGGGGAACCCCCGGCTTCACCTCTCCAGGACTTTGATCCCGCGCTCCTCGTGGAACCTCCTTCTTCTTCTGTCTTCCTGGGGTGCTGGACGCGCTGCGGCCTCTTTTCTTCCGCTCTTTTGACTTCCGTCTTCCTTCTGACCTGTCGCGGCTCTTCTTTCTCTTCTTCTTCTTTTTCCGATCTCCTCTCTTCTGGCTCCTCTCTCTCAGGGCTTCTTCCCCGTCTCCTGTCCTGGCCTCCAACTTCTTCAGGCGAAGACGAAGTGCCGCGTTCTCGTCTTCCAGGCCTGCTGGTACAGCTGGTCTCAGATTCGTGGCCCAGCCCACGGCCTCCACTTCGCCTTTGGTCACTGCATGGGTCTCGGTAACGTGAACCAGACCGTCGCCTTCCAACTCCATCTTGCAACCTGGAGGGCGGAGATGCCATCGACTGACCCCGTCGGATTGACCTGCCCATTGAAGTAGAAGCTCTATGCTGGTGCCGCTGAGCTTCACTTGAACCATCCTTCTCCCCTCTTCGCTCAACTCTTCTATCACCTCCCCAGCCACCGTGCCGCGATGACTGTAATAGTGGGCGTCTGTGCCGATGATCCAGTCCCCCTTCTTTAGAAGTCGAGGGTGTTGCTCGTCCTCCTCTGCTTTTGCGGGTCTCCTCAAAACTGCAGGGGCCCGGCCCCCGACTGCCTTCACCATAGCAGGGGCTTGAGCTCGAGGTCGAACTCTGGCCCCCGGCCTTCTCATACCTTTTGGTGGCATTTCTACCACGACCAGGCGCCGCGTCCTCTGCCGCGGTCAAAGCCGTACTTGTCTCTGAACTCTTTGCCTCTGATGTAGTGGTTATAACCTTTATCCTTCTTCGGCTTGTCCCGGCGTCTATCGTCTCTGATAGGGCTCTCGTCAGTATCCTCAACTGCTGCCTTAGAGACCTCTAGGTCTTTCTCCTCCTCTTCTTTAACTGCCACGGCCTCCTCTGGCTCGCTCTTCTTATCTCTCCTTCTCCTGTCTCTGCTCCTGTCCTTGCTGCGTCTCCTCCCGTGGCGTTTGCGGGATCTGTCTTTCTTCTCTTTTTTGCTCCTCGACCTGTGCGCTGAAGCCTTATCAGGGAGTGCCCCCGACTCCTTGCTTTCTTCCTTTCTCCTCGCGCGACCTTCGGGGAGATCCCCGCTTTCTTTCCTGGGCTGGGCTGAAGAGCTCTTTGCCACAGGGGTCAACCCCGGCAAGTTCGACTCAGGTGGATCAGCCGCAGATCCCCCGACAGAGGCGCCCAGGGCCTGATTCAATTCCCACTCTTCCACAAAAGCCTCGACCTTGTCAGCCGTACGCGTGAGCAGCCTGACCAAGGTAGCAACCTCTGCAGGCGGGTGTCGAGTGAGGATCACCCGAGTTAAGCGCTGCAAAGTATGGCAAACCTCACAGCGCCCGGAGTGCGAAGAGGGGAGATTGAAACGGCCCCGGCAATGACTACAACTCATTCAGCTTGAACCAAAGCCTACAGGATCGAAGCAGGTTATTTTACTCTTTACCCCCGGGGTCGGGTTAGCATACAATATTATACAATCATATATCTTCACATCACGTATCATTGTCTTTGTTGCAGTCTTTCCTGGTGCCCTTCCGGGCGCTCCTGGTGTGGCCGCAGGAGCAGGTGAAGCAATCCGAGATGCCGGCGAATGCCATCATCTTCCTGGGCGCTGTTCTGGTTCTTCCTGGGTGGAAAATGATGAGAAATCCAACCCATGAATGGTGGAAAGTGGTGGAAAAATGATGATAAATACCAAAATTTCTTGGAATACCCGAATTTTCGGGCAGAGCCATGTTTTTCTTCGTGTTATATACAATGTGAAATAGCCATAAAATTAGCCCATATAGCTGTTAATATAGCTGTTTGGTCACCATTTTCAGGTGACTTCTCTTCTTGCGGACTTGAAACATCAACTGAAAATGGTGCCTATATACCAGAAATCCAGCAATGGTGGTAATATTTACGGCAGAAATTCAGAGGGAACCAGGGCGCCATGTTTTTCCCTACCCAGCGACGTGTGATGAATGTGACGATTGACTTTTTCAATCGATTGAACCTTATCTGTGTGCAAACCGAAACAACTAATTACATGACTCAAAATCCCATTTCTTTCGGTTACAAACCTATGTGTTGCTTAGAAATATCATGCATTATACATATCATGATATATCATAGGTCTCTTTCATATCGTATTGTTACCTATAGAAATATCATTAGCATACTATGTAGTATCATTTTATATATACTATTAGCTATAGATTACCTATATAGTATATATAAAATCTATCTGTTGCAGGTCTACCTCCCCACCACCCGAGCCCCTTCGCCCCTCTATGCCATCGAAGCGCTTCATCACCGGCGAGCCCACGATGCCCGAGCCGCGGGGCGCGGGGATCAAGCGGCAGCGCACCGAGCCGCACTTGCCGTGGACCTGTCGCACTCGGACGTGGAAAAACGGGGATCGTAACGGGTGAAGCCTGGTTGATCATGGTTAATAGTGCTTAATAGTGCTTAATAGTGAAATCATGATGGATAATGATGCATAATGGCAAATAATGGTTAATTGCAAATGTAAGTGTTTAATAATCGTAAAATTGATTATTGTTCATAAAAATTAATTTCAATTAACAATGTTGAATTGTGATTCATAATGATTTCGTGCGATCAATAACGGTGATCAATGATGATTAATGGAAACACCCTTCGGCAATCGAACATGGTTTGACCATGACAAAATGATGATTTAATGAGACATCAATGGATATATATATACACACATATATATATATATAATGTGATATATATATAACTAACTATTACGTATTGAACCAACAAAATAGGGATATAAAACCAGCTACAATGGAGATTTTATGGAATATAATGGGAATATACTGGGAATATAATGGGATATAAAACCAATAAGATGGTATCTGGATGTGTCTGAAAATGGGGTACCACCCGAAAATGCGGGGCTCACCACGGTTGAAGGGGTGATCAACATACCATTTATAATAGGGAATTGTGCCGATCATCACAATTTATCCTTCTTCAACTGGGCCATCGAATAATAGGGGAAATAATGATAAACCATCAAACTTGAGGACAGCCAATCTTCCCAGTGTGAAAAAATACTACATTATATGTGGTAAATATATATATATGTATTCATATAATTATGCGTGTATAAGTTGGACTTAAATATCATGTGATGTTGTAATACATATATATATATATTATATATATATGAATTTAAACAATCTGTATTACATACATTATTCTTAATTATGCATATAATATACTATGTTGACTTATGTAATTCCCAAGATGTGTTAAGGACCACGATAAACTCGCCGCGCCTTCATGGGTACGGTGTGTGGCAAGCCGATACCTCAGATCCGCAAAGGACGAGCTGTGAATGTCACAACCATGGCTGCTTTGGGAGGTTCAAGAAGGTGTATAATGGATATATTTTATATATATATATATGTACATATATATATATATATATTGGATATGCAATGTTCAATCACAACCATGGCTGACATCACAAGAAGATTCGCAATTTGGGGTCACCATCCCAAGCTGGCTCCATGTCCAAATACAAGTACCAATGATTTCATCGTCTTCGCCTTCACTATGGTCTTTATTCTTGTCCAAGAGAATCAAGTGGCAAAAAGAGAAAGCTCGCCGTTCATTGTTCATCCCAACCCTTTTCGAAACAAGTCCTCCTCCCTCCTCGACTAACGCCGCGACGTTTTTTTTTTGAACCGAGGGGCGGTTCCCCCAGAAGCCTCGTCGGACCGGGATGAGGTTCAACTTCGCCGCGATGATGCCACCACGAATGGCAGTGGCCACCTGCCCGACCATCCACGGATGCTGTTTGGTGAGGTTGTTCTCAGCCAAGCAGTGAATTTGCTCAACATAGAAGAACCAGTTAGTAGAATCGCATATTGCTATATATGATGCGATGAAGCGAAAACATTGCCAATCTTAGATACCCTGCCGTTTTGGGGGGCTGGTTAGACCATTTGAATCTATTGATAGCAAAAGATCTCAGCAGTAAAGTACCCATCCCAGGTGACAGTAGTAAAGTACACATCCAAGGTCGAATTGGTATGCTCCACGTATCTCCACACAAGTCACTATGAGCTTGGAATTGCTCCCCTACATTGCTCGGTCTGCACCCGAGATGTCAAAAGCAGGATCTCACCTGCGGCCAAGCGGGTTGTACATCTACGATCACCTAAATTACTAGACCCCTGCCCCTACACGCCAAAAATTGAGTGCCGTTGTCCAATTGGATATGGCCATTCAATTTCTAGGTGAAAATCTGGGGCCGTTGTCCAACGCCGGGCCCAGCCTCCTTCGCGCACTTGGAGCCAAGGCCAATGTGCCCATTGGTGTCGCCCACCAGCACATAGCACACGAAGCGGTTCGTCTGTCCTGGCCGGATCTTTCGGCTAGAGATCCTGCTGGTCATGGTGGTACCCCCAAATCATCCAAGTAGACTAGGGACTTGAAAGCTACGGTGACTTGGGGATGCCCCATTTTTGGAAACCTCCATAAACTGTAGGTCATTGTCTACTGGGGATTTTCAATCATTGTGATATCTGATGGTGTTTCACAATACCCCAATTCACTAGTTACTAGTTAGATCTATATAATCTAATTGGCATAAACTGTAAACCAACGCGACCATCAACCAGTGAGCGTTTTGAACACTGCTCATGCTGTGGCGCACGTCTTCCCATACTGTACACCAAAAGGACAATCATGGCTGACACCACTGGCCAGAGCATTTCGGACCTGACTCTTTTGGCCATCTTCTGTGCACTCATAGTGGTCTACTAAGGAGAGAACTGAAATCATTCACCAGTTCTGAAACACCGCTTCCATAATGGACAAGAAAGAACATGTCCAGGCCCAGTCTCGTCTGAAAATTGTGTGCAGCTTGGGGGAAGGACGCATGGACATTGGAGATTATGAAACATGTCCCGAAAAGGGAGATCAAAATCCTGGCAGAGCAGGTATTCTTCAAACCACCATTTTTGGACGCTTCCCACACATCATGTTTCCACATTATCAGCTGCAATTCCCCTATTCAATTCCAGTCAGTCGCCTACAGGTCATAGGAATTCCAAGACTCCGATGCCTTCACCCAATGGACACAAGTCTGCTCTAAACAGGTCACTTCAACGTGGTACCCTTCTGTTCATTGGTATAGCTGGATGTTAATCCCAACAAAAATGGTCCCGTAAATATTGAGATATCCATATTTCTGATACCTTTTTGGTAATCAAACATGGCATGCTGAAAAACTCCCAATTTAGTGTGATGAGTTTCCCATTAAAATGCCCATTGCATAAGGGAAATGCCGGAAATGCCCATCAAAACCTCCATTTATCGATGTTTTTTTTTCATGCTTTTTCCCATAGTTTCCCATATGTTCTCATGAATTCTCCTCATTTCATGGTGATCTTTCCCATGTGTCTCCCATATGTTCTCAGGGATTTCCCAGCCATGATGCCCCTGGCCCGGCCTGCCGAAGTCATCTTCTGGACAGGGTGGATCTTCAGCACTTCGTCCTGACGCTTGGTGTCGCTTGATGCGCGCAATGCATGGAAATGCATGGAAACACCCTATATGTATGTGTATATAATGCATATAATATGTGTATATTATGTGTATATTATGTATATAATACGTATGTAAATTTTATATAACATGAAAATAATATTATATGCGTATGCAGGCTTTTCTGTGGGCTCTATAAACGGTTTCTACTCATTCTAATCCCCCGTCTCATCGGTATGTCACAAAAACTATCGAAAAATCCTATGGTTGATATATGTAAACCATCTATAAATGGTGATTTTCCATGGCAAAATATATGGTATGACTATATATACCCTTTTTCAAATGGCAAAATCCGTGGTGCCACCTCCCATTTCCATCACGCCTTCAAGGAGCCGGGTGGGTAGAAATGGTCGATGATCTCAGGTTCCTCGCGGCGCGGAAAGCGCGGTGGCATTTTAAACGAAACCTTGGGGGACTTGCGGCAAACATTTCATCTCAATACATATACATATACACATATAGATATATATATATATGTAACATGTATATATATATATATATATGTTTATATACATATCTATATGTATAGATACTCAACCATGAAAAAAATGACTTTCCAACCGTCCATGTTTTTTTGATTCGGGCCAAAATAAGGAGTTCAACCAACCAACATTGCTATGGCTAATTCAAGGGAGCCACAAATGGACCGGTCGTGCCACCTTGAAGTCGTCTCCGGTGCACGGACAACTACATGCTGCACTCATGTGTGCCGATACCTATCAATCTATATCTATACATCACATTATACCTGTTCATAATATAGACAGAAGTTTCAAGCAAATATATATATATAAGACATTTCTTCTTCCATGAGCAATGAAGTCCAAGACTGCGCTCAACATGAAACACATAAATTCACAATGTCGGGACATCAACTGAAGCAAGCACAGCCACCAAATCAAATTGCAATGTATGATGTACAGATATATACAATACAAATTTCAATACAAATGCAAATAACATCGGTATGCAACAATGATCTATATATGTAAAGTACATGTGTCTGTGATACACGGCTATTTCCATAAACGAAAACCGTCCCCAGATACAGGTCCCACCTTGATGGGAAGCGAGTGCAGGTAGATCTCCTGGGCCCAGACATCGCCAGGATTAGCCAGGGCTATTCAGGGTGGAACTTTTTGGGATGTTAATAGCTATGGCTATAACTACTGGATACTAATAATTATAGTTAATTATGATAAACTCTGAGTCTGATTAGATATTAAGTACTATTAACTAAAACTATAACTTGCAACCCAATAGTAACTATAATAACTACCTGGATGAAGTATGGGGGATATATACTCAACCAGAGTTACTGTTGGGTTTGTAAGTTAGACTGGTGGCTTCTAACCCAACAGAAACACAATGGGATAAACACCTTAGTTTAACACTGAATGGACCTATAGCTACTGTGTATCTAGGTTGGAAACGCCACTGATCCGACGCATTGGTTGGGGGTTCACGCTTCCATTGTTCTTTTTTTCCTCTTTTTTCCCTCGTAGATTCATAGTTTCAGAGGTTAAAGATGGCTAAAGTGCTAAAGGATGTTAAAAGGCTTCATGTTCTTCATGTTTCGGGGAATGCGAAAGCTGCAAATTGGGGGTTGAACTTTCCGGTTTGATCCAGATGGGGAGTATAAGGCCCTGATGTTCTATTGAGAGCTTCGTTCTCGGGTTCCATTTTCTAGCACTACTCCAAAATTGTGATTGCAGACAGGGTGTGTAAACTTCTTGTTTCAAGCTCGATCGGTTGGTTGTCAGCGCTTGCAACAGCTGTGTGTTCCCAAAGTGGGTCAAGGTAATCTTGTGAAGGACTTGTCAAAAAAACATGGTTCTCCTAAAATCCAGCCATCAGTGCTGATTTACTGACGCATTGTCCTTGAATACGTTGAATAGAAGACTCACATCTTCAGGTCCCAAGACTCAGACCTCCAAATTCTGGATCTTTCCATCATTCACCAATCGCCCCAGCTTAGTCATGGGCGCCTCAGTTGCGGCCGGATGTTCAACTCAGGAGGAGCCCCGTTTCTGCTTTCCGAAGATGGAAGACGACAGATCACTCAGACTCGCAAGCGGTCTAAGTGAGGTCCCACCAGTCTACACGTCTGAACAATCAAAGGTGGAGACGACAGGGAGACAATAGGCAGGAGCATCGAGCCTCGTTGATGCACCCTCCATGATCTCCCTCTTTTATCGAAAGAGCTCGGGGAACGAGGAACACATTTTTGTGTCGGTGACAGTGAACTCCGTGTGTTTACTGCTGGGGGTAGGGTTTGTGGGAGTGTGGGCCCAACACCCAGGGGTGAGGTGATGTGAGTGAGGTGATTGAGACAAGGAACCCATTGCTTCGCCTCCTGTTGCCCTTGCCCTTGCCTTTCTTCCCCTTGCCCTTTCCTGCAAATCTCAGAACTGGGCCAGCGCAAATGGAGAGGCCATGCCATGCTATCTGAAACCCAAAAACAGGGGCCCTCCTGGCTACTTAGATGACCAAGTTCCTAGGTGAGTTGCAATCATGGTGGCAAAGTTATGGGCACTTAAAAGCTATACTTGTATGCAGGATAACATCAGGAATTCGGGATATGGCCAAGGATCCTACATGCTTAAGGACGGGTCGAAACTGAGGTTTCTGAGATGCAAAAAATACAGAGAGTCAACACTCCATAGGGTCCATCGAGTCAGGACCAAAAAATATGTATTTAGTGTATTTTGATGTTTTTGTTGGTGGTTGATCCACATTTGACAATCTGATCAATCTGATGTTTGGACAGAGACTAAAAGATTTGGATATTCCCATCAGAAACCTAGTGACCTAGTGGAGGAGATATGCTTATGAGGCCTCAAAATTGGGTTAGCCAAAAATGCGATGATTCACTACCAACATCTACCAACAAAAAAAATGTAAAAAAAATATTGAGGGTTTGAGGGCCTTCAATTTGTGGTCCACTCATCCGGAAAAGATCCTTTGCCGAAGTCGCCGCCACTGCCCATGGCCCCTGGCAGGAAGCTGAGAAGAAGTTTCATCAAGCTGATGGCATCGGAGTTGTAGAAACACAACAGTGTGCAAAAATCCAACAATGGTTTTGTGATTGTACCATCAAACATTATCAAACATGGGGGTGGCAGCCTAGCCAATGAAAACAGGCATAATACCAGCTCAAGGCCATGAACCACGAAGAATCTTCGGCTCAGCAAAGCGACAGCTGCGTCTACGCCCCATCCATCCCTACCTTTCGCTATTCGCTGCGGCACTGCAGGTGTTCGAACCCTAAAGAAAAGCCAGCGGCCAATGTCACAGCTGAGTTTGGCTTGGTGCCGTACAGGTGGCAAATCCACCACTTGATGGTCTTCCATCACAAGAAAAACATCCAAGGGGCCTGGGGTCAACTTCTCCCCAACGACAAAGACTTGCAAGGTCATGTAAGTGTGGTCTAGTTGGTAGCTCCGTCCCTTAAATTCATATCTTTGTCGATCATCTTTTGAAGGAAATCATGGTTCTCAAACTTGGCAATGAAAAAGCCACAAATTATGGATGAGTTGTCTATACTATACAGTATTCGTTACATTAGTTCACAGACTTCACAGAGATTTCTGTTGCTTGATTGGATTCCTGCTTGGGTTACTGATTAGATTCCAGGTTAGATTACTGGAGTTCACTGGGTGATTTTTTACATCAGTTTTAGTTGCTACTCCATGGTCGTCGCCTCAAGCACCCGAGTTTTGCTTGGAAAGCTGCATTTAAGATTGTTCTTCAATATGACTGTGTCCAACACACGACACATAGCTGCTGGGAGAACCGGCACTGAAGCTTCGAAGACTCGATGGCAAGGTCACTCGCTTCAGGCTTTGGTTGAACATATTGCCAAAGCTCAAGCTATGAAGACTCGATGGCAAAATCACCCGCTCCAGGCTTTGGTTGAAATAGAAGCCAAAACTCAAGCTTTGAAGACTCGATGGCAAGGTCACCCGCTCCAGGCTTTGGTTGAATAGATCGCCAAAACTCAAGCTTTGAAGACTCGATGGCAAGGTCACCCGCTCCAGGCTTTGGTTGAACCCATCGCCAAAACTCAAGCTTTGAAGACTCGATGGCAAGGTCACCCGCTCCAGGCTTTGGTTGAATAGATCGCCAAAACTCAAGCTTTGAAGCCTCGATGGCAAGGTCACCCGCTCCAGGCTTTGGTTGAAACCACAGCCAAAACTCAAGCTTTGAAGATTCGATGGCAAGGTCACTCGCTCGAGGCTTTGGTTGAACCAAACGCCAAAACTCAAGCTTTGAAGCCTCGATGGCAAGGTTACCCGCTCCAGGCTTTGATTGAACGCAAAGCCAAAACTCAGGCTTTGAAGACTCGATGGCAAGCTCACCTGCTCCAGGCTTTGGTTGAAGGTCCAGCCAAAACTCAAGCTTTGAAGACTCAATGGCAAGGTCACCCTCTCCAGGCTTTGGTTGAACATATTGCCCAAACTCAAGTTTTGAAGACTCGATGGCAAGGTCACTCGCTCCAGGCTTTGGTTGAACATATTGCCAAGACTCAAGTTTTGAAGACTCAGTGGCAAGGTCACCCGCTCCAGGCTTTGGTTGAAACGATTGACAAGGCTCAAGCTTTGAAGACTCGATGGCAGGGTCACCCTCTCCAGGCCTTGGTTGAACTCAAAGCCAAAACTCAAGCTTTGAAGACTCGATGAAAAGGTCACCCACTCCAGCCTTCGGTTGAACTCAGGGCCAAAGCTTAAGCTTTGAAGACTCAATGGCAATTTCACCCGCTGCAGGCTTTGGTTAAACTCAGAGCCAAAACTCAAGCTTTGAAGCCTCGATGGCAAGGTCACCCACTCCAGGCTTTGGTTGAAATCCTCGCCAAAACTCAAGCCTTGAAGACTCAGCGGCAAGGTCACCTGCTCCAGGCTTTGGTTGAACTCAAACCCAAAACTCAGGCTTGGAAGACTCGATGGCAGGTTTTTCCCCCCCCCCCCTCGCCAGGCTTTGGTTGACCCATCGCCAAAACTCAGCTTTGAAGACCGATGGCAAGGTTCACGACCTGCTCCAGGCTTTGGTTGAATAGAAATCCGCCAAAACTCCAGCTTTAAGCCTCGATGGCAAGGTCACTCCGCTCCAGGCTTTTGGTTGAAACCACAAGCCAAAACTCAAGGCTTTGAAGATTCGTGGCAAGGTCCACTCGCTCGGGCTTTGGTTGAACCAACACGCCAAAACTCAAGCTTTGAAGAACTCGATGGCAAGGTCACCCGCCTCCATGCTTTGATTGAAACGCAAATCCAAAACTCGGCTTGAAAGACTCGATGGCAAATCACCCGCACTCCAGCCTTTGGTTTGAACCACAAAAGCCAAAACTCAAGCTTTGAAGACTCGATGAAAAGGTCACCCACTCCAGCCTTCGGTTGAACTCAGGGCCAAAGCTTAAGCTTTGAAGACTCAATGGCAATTTCACCCGCTGCAGGCTTTGGTTAAACTCAGAGCCCAAACTCAAGCTTTGAAGCCTCGATGGCAAGGTCACCCACTCCAGGCTTTGGTTGAAATCCTCGCCAAAACTCAAGCCTTGAAGACTCAGCGGCAAGGTCACCTGCTCCAGGCTTTGGTTGAACTCAAACCCAAAACTCAGGCTTTGAAGACTCGATGGCAAGGTCACTCGTTCCAGGCTTTGGTTAAACCTGTAGCCAAAACTCAAGCTTTGAAGCCTCGATGGCAAGGTCACCCGCTCAAGGCTTTGGTTGAAATCCTCGCCGAAGCTCAAGCTATGAAGACTCAATGGAAAAATCACCCGCTCCAGGCTTTGGTTGAACTCAAACCCAAAACTCAAGCTTCGAAGACTCGATGGCAAGGTCACCCGCTCCAAGCTTTGGTTGAAACGATAGCCAAAACTCAAGTTTTGAAGACTCGATGGCAAGGTCACTCGTTCCAGGCTTCGGTTGAACCTGTAGCCAAAAGTCATGCTTTGAAGACTCAATGGAAAGGTCACCCGCTCCAGGCTTTGGTTGAAGTTACCATCAAGACTCAATTTTGCAAGGCTGCCGGGTAGATGATGTAAATACTCTCCAGGCACTGCTCGGTCAAGTTGTGTAACACCTCCTAGCACCAAATCTCTCTCACAAGTCGTGAGCCCATGGACATAACACCATGCAGTGTACACATTTGTTGGTATGTAAGTGCAGGACAGCATTGCCGATTTTCCAACAATCCCTTGCTCTCCCAAGGTTTGATTCAGCGTCAGCTTTGCATTCATGTGATGCACCACTAGCCTAGCGCCTGGCTTGCGTGGAAGCTTCTCCGACACCAACCTCCACAGGTCATACCCAAGCATAGAGCGAGGAGCATTTAAGGTCACTCCTTCTCCAGTCAAGCATAAGCATCAAGATTGACCTCGTCAGTTTCATCTGCTGCACTTTTGTCAGTAGATGATGGATCCACGTAGCCATGTTGCCCACCCAACATTGGTAGACATTTACACACTTCTCACTACTGGGCACAGCCGAAAGATCTTCACAAAAACAAAAACACGACAATACAATCCTTCAATCTACCTCTAAATCAAAAAAGGAACCCAAAGATTGCCTTTCAAAGTGCCCGAAATCCTATTCCAACACCATTTAAATATGATTTAAATTTAGCGGAGCTTGATTTTCTTCGTTTTCAGGGCAGCCTGATTGGGGCTGCCCTAAATCTGGACGTACCAAGGGGTCCCCTAAACCCCAACGGTTTAGAAAGTCCCACGTTCCTTCTATGATAGCACTAAAATGGGTTGTGTATGTATGTATGTATATATATATATATATTATTATATACAGTATACCTCTGGAAAACCATAAGGACAAAATTGTCTCCAGTCGGCCACGTTAGATTACAGTACCTCTTTTCTCGCTACTTCGGCACACTAGGGGTGAAACCTTTGGCGGCGGACAGTGACTGGAGCTGTCTTTTTCAGAATGAGCACCGTTTTGCAGCTTTTGGATTCAATTTTGGGGCGTGGCAGCATAACTATATATATATAATTGGTATGATTAACCGCTATTGACATGATTAATCAACAGATTTCAACAGATTTCTCTACACATAGCACTTTACCGTCTCCATGACTGTCGGGGGTTTCAGACCCCCGCCCACGATGCGACCACTCTACCGTTGCAGAGAGAACAGAGCGGCTTAGCTGTCCTAGCTTCGTGGGGTCACATGAACTGCTCAAATCTTCATTGGTGAAAGGCTATGCTGCTGAGTCTGCCAAACAAACGACTTCCTGTGAAAATAGACTATCCTTTTTCGTCTCTATTGAATTATTGGATAGGCATGAATCCTCAAATGACTATGATTCATTGGGGGAAGGCTTCAAATGCCGAGATGGGGATTATCCACATTCCAGAGTTGTTTGTATCCCAAGAGTTGCGGCTACTTTAGCACAATGATGATCAACTCGTATGGACATATGGAGGTTCCTTTCCTCGCTGGTCGCTGAAGCAACAAATACCTATTTGATATCTATGGAATTCTGTGGATATATCCCATCTGATTCTAGCGTCCTCCTAGCGTCCTCATGTTTGGGGCATTGCTTCGTGAAATTCGCAGATTGCATCAGCTATTACTTTGGTTGTATGTGTGGTTGTATCTCTATTTTTCAAGTCTTTTCCATTCCTTCAGGCGATTGGTTGTGGATCAAAATCCGTGTCTGGTAAATGGTGAACTTCAAAAAAGCTGGTAAATGGATGTTCATCCCTCAAATCATATGGAAAATCATAGGTTTGGGCACATCCTCACTTGGCTTACCCAGCAAAAACATAGTTCTTCATGCTGAATCTCCCATATTTGGGTATGTTTTCTGCCCAAGCCTATGTCTTGGTGAGGTTGTTCTTACCATCTGGCAATCAAACGTGGCTAGCAGGGAAATAGCACAAAAATGAAGGGCCTTAATGGGAAAATCAGCATAAATCATCTATAAATGGTCAATGTCCCAACTTGTTGCCTCGCATCGGCCGCTCCACTTCTGCCTCTCATCGTTCAGCTTATTGCATCCCCTGAGGCTGGCCCAAGCGTTCCCCACTGGGGTTTCTTGTTGGGAATATCATGGAGAAAAACCCTAGTCGTCGGATGACTTTTGTTAGCACAATAAACTATCATAACCTGTAGATAGAATATAACCCATGTCATAACATTATTATCATAACCAATTAACTGATGACAAGTGGTTGGATGCTTTACGGGTCTACCGGTCTACCACATTGCACCGCACCGGCCTCCGGTTGAGGCATGCCCACCATGGAGCTGTCTGGAGCCTTGGCACGAAAAAACCATGGCGCCTTGGTCATCCCATGCTGGGAATCCGCCATGGCTTCGCACAATGCCCCAGTCATCACCATGTTCATAGCTGGTATATATATATATTATATTATATACATATTATATATATATATTATGTATATAA